TTAGAGTAGAGTTATTAGAGTAGAGTTTTCATAAACAGTGAAGTTCTTTCTTCTTCACCAATATAAATGCTTGAACTAACATCTTCTTAATTAAACTAAAGCATAAGCGATCATACGCTTCTTGAGTAAAGACTTCTTTTTCCCCAATATCAAGTTAAGTTCCTAAACTAGTTCAGATTGTGTAATCAAGAAATTTAGAAAATCTCTCCGATATAATGTATAGTAAAGGTATCCCTAAGTTGTATTTTTTTTTCCATTTTCTTAACTTCGGAATTTACAGAAGCAGCATCCACACAACATTACCTTCTGCTGGCAGGTACACCTGCAAAACCATTATTTGCATTTTTCGCCGTATAAAATCAGCACAAGTTCATTGTGCGCAAGTTCAGTGCAACCGAATACATAGTAGATACAAAATTATTCAACTCGTTCTGCAAACAATAAAATTAACCCAACAAAAAATGCAGAGCACCAGAGAAGATACAAATAAAAATTGGAAATTGAAAAAAGGAACAAATATATACTTCAGATATTTAGATATCTTCAACTATAGTAAGTACTTGCAGTCGCCTATATAAAATACCAAATAAAAAAAAGCGATCGAATTGACAATATTTTTTTAAATTTATTTTATTTGCGAATCCACACTTAACTCGCAGATCTCGCTGTTTGCAGTGAGTGTTGCATGGACTGACTGGGCTTTTATCTGAGCACGTCGATCGCGTTTGCCACACACACAAATTGGCCTTAACTGATCTGCAGGCAATTTCTTACACAAATTTTTCATTTGTGGAGCTTTGCCGGTTTTTTGAACTTTTTTTTTTGGCTAAGTTTAGAATTTTAATATGTGAACATGAAACATGAAAGATTCAAAATCGCAATTTTGGTCATTTGACGTGATTTGCATGCAACAATATGGTGTATTGTTGTTGTACTAAAAAAGCAAAAAAGATACGTCAAAAGCATGGAAACATTCATATTTATTTGCCGCTTTGGTAAAATTTAGTTTGAAGATATGAATGAGGTAATATGGGTCAAATTCCATATAAGCCATTACTAGTGATATCAATACAAATATCAGCATTTCGAAAATCCTT